CCAGCAAGCGAGGCCCCGGACAAGCCAAAAATAGCGAGGGCTGAGTTTGATTACATGCTTCAGTTGGGGATTATTCGGCCTTCAAACAGTCGATGCGCTTCGCCACCACAAATCGTGGCTGCAAAAAATCTGAGCTCATTTGTGCCTTGTGTTGATTACAAAGCCCTAAATAAGAAAACCATCCCAGATGGATACTTAGTACCCTACATTCAAGTCTTTACTAATGGTCTTCGTGGCATCACAATATTCATTGGAATAAACTTAATTCGCACTTATCACAAAATTCAGGTGTCTGAGGGAGATATAACCAAAACAGCAGTTACAACCCCATTTGTGTTATATGAGTATGTGTGAATGCCATTTGGTCCCTGGAATGCTAAACACCCTTTCGAAAGATAACTTGCTGCGTGAAGTGAAGTCTGCCAAAGCGTACATAGATTACCTACTCTTCGCCAGCGCGGATATAAACAAACAGGATCTCATTCGAGAAGTATTACGCAAACTAGAAGATGGTGGTGTAACAATCAATCAAATAAAGAGTGTTTTCGGGGCAGGAACAGCGGTATTACTAGAGCATACGACCGACAGCGCCGAGATTGAACAAATGCCCAAAGAGGTGAATACCAACAAGCGGCATCTCCTACACAATTCGCTAAAGCGACTCCGGGGTTTTCTGTGGTTGGCTAACTTCTATAGACGCTTTGTTCCTCATTGAGCACTACACATGCAGCCCCTGACTGATGCATTAGGAGGAAGACCAAAGAACTTTCAGTTGTCAGAGGAAACATCCGAGTCAGTTGCATTACCGAGAGATTTTCTGGCAAAAGTCACAACCCTGAAATACTCTGATCCAGATTCTTATCTTGTATTATTGGTAAACGTGTCAGATAAGGTTGTGTGAGCCTCTCTAAATCAGCCAGTTGAAAATAGAAGAAAACCGATAGCATTCTCTTCTAGACTACTTAATCCTACAGAAACGAGGTAATCTACTCTTCACAAAGCCTTGCCAGCAGTCAGCCTTGCAGATAAGGACTTTCACCACATGGTAGAGGCTAGATTATCCACATCTACACAGATCACAAGTCCCTTCTCTACCCACTCAACGCAAAAACGGACAGGTACTCACCGCGTTAATTCATCACCTTGGTTTCACATCGCAGTTCCCCAGTGATACAAGACATATCAAGCAGGTGAGGAACTGCGTGGCCAATGCACTGTCCGGAGTGCACGTAAATACAGAGCACTGACTGAAGATCAAATGAGCGACGAAGAGTTACGGCACACTCTCTGTGCAAATAACTCTCGTTTCTAACTTAAACAGTAGTCATCTCCCGTAGACGACAACTTTATGTGCCGCCATAAATCAAAAATGGGGTAGTATCATTCTCTATTTTATTGGACGCGTCGGGGATTTTCATAGATGACAATATCCGAGTACCTTTTAGGATGGCCAGACTTGTCCAGCATTGTCAATACATTACATTGTCAATACGAGTGTTCGATTATCTGACTAAATGCTTTGAGTGACATCTAGTGCAGCAGTCTAAACCATATTGTTTCACTCGGTCTTGGAAGTGCATACAGTAGTATCTCCATGACCTTTTAGTGCATAGAATCAACCGGTCGCCCTCTACTGCTTCCAAGGCGTATTATGAATACGAGTAGTTTTGTGAGGAGGTGATGAAAACCAGGTCTATTTGACCGCCTAACTCTTCAAGTAGTCTCGTTAATTAGTCTTTAGGCCACCCTTATTTTTATAGTTTATCACTGTCCCCCAAAATAGCTCATCTGTTCTTTACTTTGCTTAGATTACTCCCTCGATAATAGGTCGCATGGCTTGTAAGGCCCCAGTGGTAACAGATCAAGAGACAAGACACAGCGAGGCAATAAAAATATATTCACAACCATGTAAACTAGTACATAACAATAAGACTGCCATGATATAATCGGTGTATTTAATAATCGACAGAACCAGTCGATAGAGCAAATATCGATCACATGTCACCTGGCAGACACTATTCGTAAAGGATTAAATCACTTGATGAACTAGATGTAGATTCTTATGTCAGTTTACCTAGTGTACTGTCTAGCAGATTACTGCACAACGTTCAGAACTATCGTCCTGTTAGTTTGACCAGTATTGTTGTTAAACTACTAGAAAGAATAATTCGTGATGCTATCATTCAGTTCATTGAAGGGAACAAACTTTTCGCTGTGGAACAGCATGGTTTGACAGCAGGTCACTGTTGCTTGACCAACCTTCCTTTGACCAGAGAAAGTTGTGCAAGTTCAGCTGATGCTAATATACCGGTGGATGCCATATTCATCGACCTTAGCAAGGCGTTCGACAGGGTTTCTCATTCAGGTCTTCTAGTGAAGTCAGGTAGTCCGTGAATCAATAAAGTGGTTGCCGACTGGAGTCAAGACTTTCTAAAGGACAGAAGACAAAGAGTACGAGTTAACGGGGTTTTATCAACATGGGAATCGGTTAAGAGTGGCGTTCCTCAGGGTACAATTCTAGGCCCACTTCTTTTCCTGATTTATGTTAATGAGATTCCATCGGTAGTTAGATCATCCTGCTTACTGTTTGCTGATGACATCAAGATATGGAGGGCTTTACACGATAACAGTGATCAACTTGCTTTGCAGGAAGATTTAAACTTGTTAAGTGATTGGCGTAAGCACTGGGCCTTGGAGATTAACTTAAGCAAGAGTGTAGTTATGCATGTATCTCATAGTCACGTGCACAATTACTCAATGAATGGCATTACTCTCCCAGTGGTCACTGAGTACAAGGACTTGGGAGTGGTTGTGCAGCATGGCTTGAAAACAGCAATAAACTGTAGAGCTGCAGCCACTAAGGGTTTTCGAATGTTATGGGCCATACGCAAGGCTTTTGCGAATTTTGACGCTGAAATATTTCGTATATTATATCCGACTTATATCAGACCTCATTTGGAATATGGGATCCAGGCAGCGAGCCCGTGTTTCAAATATGAAATAGACTTATTAGAAAGGGTGCAAAGAGTAGGAACTAAGCTAATAAAGGGTTTCTCAACCCTCTCATATGAAGAGAGGTTAAGTCGACTGGGTTTATTTCCACTGTCATACAGACGACTTAGGGGTGACCTAATACCAGCATACCGTATCCTAAGAAATGATTTTGGAGCAAATTTATCTAATTTATTTCTTCCTTCTAGCACCAACCAATTGCGAGGACATCACCTCAAGGTTCAAAAACCACGGTCGAATCTTCTGCGTCTGGAGATCCGTTTTTCGCATCGAATTGTGAACCATTGGAACTCCCTACCGGAACACGTCGTATCAGCGCCATCCGTTGCTTCATTCAAGGCGAGATTAGACCTCCTGTGTGTAACAAATCGAAAGGATTAACACAGGCATATAGCCTACTATCCTAAATAAATCGTAAACTGTAAACTGTAAACATAAGTCAGCAAAGAGACCTCTTCACTTCAAAGCTGTAAAGTTATTCACGGGGTTTATACATACAGTGGTAACTGAAAACAGCGGACACAGGTTATTGTCAGTTGGCAACAAAGTAAATCATATCTTGAAGTTAGCCTTTTTGTCAACCAGCAGGTACCTTTTCCTTGCTCCACACCTTCTGCAACAGTGGCGTGAGCATATTTGTCTGAAGCTTCTGGATTCATTTTCAGTGCTTCCTGTGGAATTCCATTCGGTTTTGTTGCTTTTCAGGCTATCAGTAGCTTTATAATCTTTAGGACTTCTGCTTTTGTCAAACAGTTGGTGTTCACCGGCAGTTCTATATCTATTTGTAGATGAGGTACAGGTGGTGGTATACTCAAGAGTTCTTTAAGCAATCATCCCAGTAGTTCCTCTGCTCTACCGCTTTAATGGTTGGGTTTCCTTCACTATCTTTCACTAACCTCATCTCCATTCATTTGTTTTCAGACATCACATCAAGGTTCAAAAACCACGGTCGAATCTTCTGCGTCTGGAGATCCGTTTTTCGCATCGGATTGTGAACCATTGGAACTCCCTACCGGAACACGTCGTATCAGCGCCATCCGTTGCTTCATTCAAGGCGAGATTGGACCTCCTGTTTGTAACAAATCGAAAGGATTAACACAGGCATATAGCCTACTATCCTAAATAAATTGTAAACTGTAAACTGTTCACTAAAAGAGCCTATATACCTTGGCTCAAATGTTCGGGACCCTGCCCTAGAATCTTAACTCTACCTTTATCTGGTTAAGCACATGATATTCTGTAGCAGTTATTTTGGAAGGAGAGAAGATATTAGAGTGGCCAATAGAAAAGTCATCATTTGTTGTGTGGTAGGCTAGAATAACGTAAGCTCTCCTAACATGTTACCCCTGGGACCTCACTTGAGACTGGTTTGCTCCCATGAAGTGTTCATTTTAGTCTTACCGTTCTTCTTCTGCCATACAAATAGTCCTTAAGCCCATCGCGTAGGATTTTATTCAAACCGGAATCTCCTAATTTACTGATTAGACCTTTACCAAACAGTTTACCGATGTCGAGTAACACCAAGTCATCCGGTATGTCCTCTTACAGAGCCCCACCTGACTTCTCCTGTCAAGATCATCTAGGTCGGATATTCAGTGATTTCTTGTCCCCAAACCATATCTCCCCATGTGAGCCATCACTTGATCTTCTATGCCTGTTTCTACCTGCTAGAGACAATACATGACAGGTTAGCTGACCGACAGCCTACTACCTTCTCTAAAAACAGGGCTTTCCACAGTGTTTCCAATGCGTTTGGCATCAATATATGATGTATGCATTAGTATCGAGGAGAAAAAATTGATGAATCACTGCATTGATGAACTAAGCGAGGGAAAACTTGAGTCAAAAGTTTCCTCTCGGACAATGTTTGACTAAGCCACGTACGTTATTTTTACCTTCCAACCAACTGCGCTTGGTTTGTATTTTCGTTAGCCTAAATAAAGTATATTGTAAGGCCTTAGCGTAAGGCTATACTTGGAGTGATAAAAATGACTCTGAATCGTCGAGATGAAAAGTCAAGCGGTGTAGATACATTTGAAGTATGTCTAAATGATTTCGCTGATCGATTACGTGATTTTAGAGCTTATCAGAAGTTTTTCGTTGCTTTATATGTATGGAGAGGCTTAACAATGCACGTTTGTGCCCACATTGCTCAAAACTTTGTTGTTATAAATGCATAAGAGTAAGAAATTTTGTGGTGATTAATGGGATTTTTTAGAAATGGATCACGGAAACACGGTCTCAATGTCCTCATTGTCGGTAATTAACACAGTTTTTGTTTTTCTAAAGGTTCACTTTCTTTAAAATTTCGAGAGCTTCCTAAGCAAACGTTCTGTAAATGTGTCACGAAAAGTGCTCTGTGACTGCCGTGACACGAGAACACATCAGATTTTCAGCAATCTCACGCATTTATTATAACTCAATCCCACTCTACAACCACTAAGCTACAGTGGAGATATCAATATTTGTAAGGTATATTTTTTCGAAATAAAATCGTGAAATTAAGTTGTGAATGAGTTTACTTATATTTCGACTGGTGCTGTGCCTACTGACCAGCAAGTTTAAGGGCCGAAATATCACGCCTTAGATATTGTTTGGGAACAATTATCCATATGTTTATATCGTTACAGTCGGATTGCGCGTCCGTTGTAGTTGTCATAAGGTGCTGTTCAACTTGACGTCTACACGGGGAGCACTATTTCGCGGACTTTTCTCTATTTTACTCATATTGTGTTACTAGATTGGTTAGTCATCGAAGGTACTAATTATTCTTGGAAAGACATTTAAATAATATCGTGTTTCTTAAGAATAAATTTCTCTTTCACCGGTTGCGTCGTATGTACGCTCTCATGAGAGTAGCCCATATCCACATCGATTAAAGCAGTTAGCCGAACCGATTCTCCTTCATAGAATAAGTTGTTTCTTCAAGTATAGAGTTTGCTTTAAGGGGAAATATTCAAAGCTGTCTCCAAGTTGTGTTAGCATAGGCCAACGAACTGTTTATTGTTGCACATGTATATATATATATATGTATAGTATCGAAGTTGTATTCTGGTCTTAATAGTTTATACTTATGTCACATGGATGACTGGTGTCATAATGCGACGGTTAACCCAACAAGAATCCAAGAGGCAGGCCCATCGGATGTAATGAAATCAGAGTTAAAGCAACTCTGGCGTAAGTTATGCTGATAATATTTCCATGTAGGCATCACAAAACTATAGTCTTTCTTTTGCAAATACACCAGTGAACAGCGATTAACTAGTTAGTAAGTATTAGGTTCCATTAATCGTTTAAAAATCCTGAGCACCCATAAGATAATCCTCGCATGACTATATATAGAGCTTCTTAATGACACAACAATCTGAGCCTTGTTGTAAATTCTCTTGCAGTGATGCATATTCACACTAATATTCTAGAATTACTTTAGGAAGAGATAATCGTTAAAATTTCCCAAATCCAATTTTCGGTGCGGTTCTGCTAGAGACAATGATGTTAGTAAGTTTTAGGTTGCTGCCGTTCCCCAGTATTCTCGGAGTCTTCGGAAATGTCGTTAAACACCGTGTTCGATTTGTAATCAGAAACAGGTTATCATCATCGAATAAATGTTATTATACAATATGTGGAACATTCCCACGTTCTTAGGAATTCGCACCTTTTCAACTTATCCAAGTGACATTTCTACAGACTAAATGAACAAGAGTGTGATGAATTTTCATGCTTTTACTGAAGATAGGTTATTATGTGGTTAAGTGTTCGTGATGCCACTTACGAAACCCAGAATTTTCAGAAATTATGTGACATACAGTTGTGACACTTAAGACACTCACGTTATTTTGTTCATTTGACGTGGTCAGACGTTTGTTCCACATGTTGGAGAGACATCTGCCGTATTTATCAACTATCCCTTTCTTTCTTCCACTTGTCAATCTGTTTCCTATATTTCTGGACATATTGGATAACATCATGAATATCTGTAAATGTGTAGTGTTCAGCTTCATGAAATTACGGGAAGTGTTTTGGAAGTCTGTGTCGCCAGTATCAGTTAGGCGGTGGGAAGTGTAATACATTTCACAGTATTGAAAAATGGCTAGAATTTAAGCCAGATGGATAATTACTAATATCTGACGTTATGGGGAGATGTGTTGTTGTCGAGGTTATTGATCGGAACAGTAGAATAATATTGATGTTTGACTTGAGTTAGAAACCCAAGCTCAATACTCACATAACACTTGTTCAAAGTCAGTCACATTCGTTTTCCTCAGCAATATTCCATTTCATTTTGTACAATGCATATCTTGACATGAGCAACAGAACTTTCAGCAACAATGTAATACTCTGTGATATAACTTAGAATACTATATATCTAAGTATGTGATTCGTATTTGTTTGTTGTTGTATATTTGATCGAGAAAATGTGATTTCCTCAACGCTTATTTCATTAAGGAGAGAGTCGTATTCTCAAGTTGCATGAATATTTATATGTCGCTTTTCTCACTTTCTGCGTTGTGGTTTAGGGGGAAGATTTTTATCGTGTAATATTTTGACTATTTTTTTGTGTTGTTGCTGGCCAACAACAACAGACAGCAATCAGCATAAATGGAAAAAACCTGAAAGAAACTACCTCCTTTACCTACTTGGGAAGCATTGTTTCAACTACAGGCGGAACTGACGAGGATATCAAAGCAAGGATCGGGAAAGCAAGACAAGCTTTCATTACTCTGAAGTCTGTGTGGAGGTCAACAGCATTCAGCGTCAAAAATAAGATCCGGATTTTCAACTCCACTGTGAAGTCAGTACTACTATACGGATCAGAGACTTGGCGTGTCACAAAGAGCACCTCAAACAAGCTACAGACCTTCATTAACAGATGTCTTCGCTCAATACTCAAGATCAGATGGCCGGAAAGGATCAGCAACAAAGATCTCTGGGAGCGAACCAACCAGGAACCGATTGTGAAACAAATAGGCAGGAAGAAATGGAGATGGATTGGCCACACTCTGAGGAAACCAGCAAGTGACATCACTAGACAAGCCCTCGAGTGGAACCCGAAAGGGAAGCGGCGAGTTGGTCGCCCAAGGGTGACCTGGAGGAGATCATGTGAAGAGGAGATGAAAGCATGTGGGCAGACCTGGAGCCAGGTGAAAACTCTAGCAGAGAATCGAACGCAATGGAGACGCATGGCTGAAGCCCTTTGTTCCTCTAGGAACTAAAGGAAATAATAATAATAATAAATAATATTTTGACTATAAGTAACTGACTTATCAACATGGAACGTAGCACAAAAGTGCACACAAAATTGGAGTAGAAGAAACGTAATGAGATTAGAGTAGATGGGCAACGAATATGTAGATGAACCATTAACTATGGTTGCATGGAAGCAATACACCTGATTTTGAGCTGTGTCACCAACTGTCTGTAACCACTGATTTTTAGCATCCTAGTCAGAAAGTCTGCACCTCCCTAAGTGGTTCAAACCAAGAGTTGGATACTTCACAGATTGGTGGCGTGTCTTGTACCTCCCACTTCCAAGTTTTTTCTTGCCTTATTCCATTTCATATGACGTTGCTCGTTCGGGAAGATGGTGACTCAGCCTGCGTATCCCATTTTAGTCGGTAGGGTTTCACAGGTTGACTGTGTAAGGGATTTATATCCATATGTCTGTGGACGCTAGTTTCACTTATACCTCCAGCTTCTTGAATGTTTCTACCTGTCTTTGTTTTTTTATTATGTAAGATAAAAGTAATCTGCCAGCTGAAGCTATTGTTATGATTATTTCCACGCAATAACGAGAAATCCTGTCTCCTTACAAGGGGTTCGTTGTGGGTAGTTATTATGATTTAGTTGATAAATTACTTCCGTCCTATTATATGACAAATTATATCTCTCACTTACAACACACGTAGAACAATGCGGCCGTTAACTGTTGGAATATTTTGGGTTAAGTTGATATGCTGAAGAAGGTGTTGACAAATCTCAATTTTTCCTGTAAGTGCCTCCTAATTCAGAATGTCCATATTTCTCTAACTGTGTAATTTTTAAACATTATGTCATACAAATACTGAGAGAATATTGCGTTATTTTAGATTCTTAATTGTATCAAGTACTTTCTATTTCGAAGTTATATTTGAATATATAATATCTCGTGTATATCTGTTATATTAACCTTCTTCTTCTTCCTTGTACTAACAGTGCATCACTACATATTTATGAGCTGATTAACTGCCGTTGGGCTGATGAAGTTACCCAGCAGTTGGATAATCTACAGTCGCAAGCAACTTCATCTAAGTCTATTGGTCAGGGTGATCAGTCAGGATCCGCCAATAGTGCAGCAGCCTCTAATGTTGATATGTAAGAACCTTTTTCTTTTGTTGCATGAGTATATATATATATTTCGTACACGAATTCCCCTTTATAAATTTGAGCAAATGTAGGACAAACATATGTGTGGATTAACATAGATCCATTTTGTTTCGTAGGTTCTCTTCAGCTGCGTAAAACCTATAGTATTTATTAAGACCAGTTACAGTACAATTTTAACATGCATTTTGTTTATCATCGTTAATCATTCCTCTAGTAAGGATTGTTGTAAGAAAGTCATAGTGGGATAAAACATAAGGATAATACGGTTATCTCAATTTATTAGTTGTTAGGGTGGCGATAAGGTAGCGGTAACTGCGCAATGAGAGATAATAAAGTACAGTGATTAGAATTCATAAGATTGAAAAACCAAAATTCGGTGTGTACTAAGTCTAGTGTAAAGATGATGATATAACATAGTGAGTAGAATTCCAAGGATAGAAAATTAAGTCTAATATGAAAGTGAAATAGGGAAAGTGTAGTGAGGTTGGGGTGGGTGGGGTGAAACGAAGTAATGAAAGGAAAAGACATAAGATAATTCTCACCTAGTTAGGTGAGAATTATCTTTGAACACATAGATCAGGCTTGAGTCGTTTTATTGCGAAAGGTTCACCAAACCGAAGAGGCCTAGGGCTGTTTTGTCTGTTAATCATTTTGAAAGCTTCCAATGCGTCTACTACCTGTGGGACTGACTGTATTGGATACTTTGACTGGACACTAGTAACCGGTGTGAGTAATTGTCTGTCAAGTTGGTCGATCGATAAATTAACGTATATATATATATATATATATATATATTAGTTGGCGTTCAGTTACGGTTTGGCTTTCCAGTTTAATCCCTAACTTTGGAACTCAGCAGACACAACGTCTTATCAAGATAGAAGCTAAAATCTACGAAATGTCGAACAACAGCCTAGTACTGTTTAACACACACAAAAAACAGTATACCCTTACAAAGTTAAACTGTTGAATTCCACAGTATTTGCATTTGCTTACCATTAGTCTAGTATTGATTCATATGCATATACCACGTCAGTTATTACACAACTTTATTAAGACGACTTTCGTCGTTGTTGTTTTAGTTCTTAGTAGTTTTAGGTTAGGGATAACGCCCTGCAGAAACCATAGAAAAACTAGCTTTGACTGACAAGCAGCGTTGTTCACATGTATGGACACAAACACAAGACACGCACACACACAGGCACACAAGTAATTGTCTTTGCCCTAAGATTTATGCTAATAATTTCCTTTGTGTTGTTACGCAGCTCTTGTTAGAATTTGTTTAGTTCTCATAAAATCCCTTAAACAACAGCACTCATTAGTAAGGCGTATCTGCAACCTTGAAGGAACTCATGTCCATTCTGAGATCCGTCCGTGTGTCACCCAGTGCTGTAGTCAGCGACGTTACTACTGAGATATTCGGGCCTGCGATTGACATCCTACACAAAGGGGAGCTGATGGATTCCTTCTAAGTGAAGACCGGAGTAAGACAAGCTGGCTGCCTACTATCTCCAATGATTTCCCTTATGTGATAGACTGGATAATGCGACAGACTGATGGTGGGCAACGAGGAAATAGGCATATAATGGACCCACACAAAAACGTTGGAGGATCTGGACTTCGCCGATAATGTGTGTCTGATTTCCCACAGACTGGAAGATATGCGAGTGAAAAGCAACAAGTTGGCAGAAGCATTCAGAGAAGATAGGACTTCCTTCAGGTGAACATAGAGAAAACAGAGTTGATGAAGACCCCTGGTCAGCAGCAACATCAATCAGCCAGCATAAATAAGAGAGATCTGAAAGAAGTAACCTCATTTACCTACCGACCTGGGAAGCGTTGTCTCAACTACAGGCGGGTGGAACTGATGAGGATATCAAAGCAAGGATTGGAAAAGTAAGGCAAGTTCTCATTACTCTCAAGTCTATATGGAAGTCAACAGCACTCAGCATGAAAAACAAGATCCGGAATCTCAACTCCCATGTGAAGTCAGTGCTGCTAACCATACGGATCAGAGACTTGCACTGTGCGTCACGGGGGGCACTTCGAACAAACTACAGACTTTCATCAACAGCTGTCTTCGCTCAATACTACTCAAGATCAGATGGCCGACCTGGGAACATCAGCAACAGGGTGGGATCTGTGGAAGTGAACGAACCAGCTCAGCAGGAAGCAATTGCACAAAACATGTAGGACAAATAGAGGTGGATTGGCGATACTCTGAGTAAACAAACCATCGAGTAAGTGACATCAAACGCCAGGCCATTGGTGGAGGGGAAGTCGAATTGGAAGCGGGGAGTTGGTGGTCATTGCGAGGGTGATATGGAGGTTAAGGGGATGATTTGAAGGGAAGATGAAAGCATGTGGGCAGACGTGTAGCAAGGTGAAAACGTTGCTAGAGAACCGAACGCAGTGAAGACGTTCGGCTGAAACCCTATGTTCCTCTAGGAATTAAAGGAAACAATCATATAATAATAAGATTGGATTGGACACTAGGTGTAGAGTAGTGTGGTGTGTTCAGTCCTTCGTTTGGTGCGGACTGAATTCTCTCAGTCACATTTGCAGTGTGGTCACCATGCTAGGCGGCTTGACATCACGCCCCTGCATTCTGAATTGTTGTTATTAGATGTTCGGGGGTAGTCGTCAGGAAGCCCTGGACACTCACCAGTCAGCAAGGTGTATCTGCAAACTTCAAGGAACTCATATCCCTAATGAGATTCGAAACCGCATCACTTAGTGCTGCAACGAGAAATGTTATCACTTAGCTTTTCTGTCTCGCTACTGACCTCCTGTAGGACTGTGTTAGATACTTCCATTGAGTGCACACTAGGTAACAAGTGTCATGCATTTGCAATGTGACCATTTAATATGAACAATTCAGAGTGCACCTTGATGGCCATATAGCGAACTTGACTGATGGTTACCCCTAGTGTGTACTCAATCAAAGTACGCTTGTCACGTTTTTCTCTCCTAAATCCTCCTTTTCTTTCTGTTGGTAAGAAAATGTGAAAATCAACAAATAAAATCGTATGTACTGATTAACGACAATGTATACGTCGTATGTATGTATGCGTATATGATTTTGTTTGTTTTTGTTTTCAGCTGTGAATTGCACAATGAACGTTTATCTGTATTTTGCTCAACGTGTGATTTTTCGATCTGTCATCAATGTGCATTATTTGATAACAAGCATGAACAACATTCATTTCGTCCATTGGATGAAGTCTATAATGAACATGTTAAACAAATCAAAGGTGAAATGGATCAATTAAAGCACAGACACTTAGAATTAATATCATTATTTCAAGATGTTGTAAGTTTATTTATTTATTTATAGATTTACTTTTTTTTTATAAAACACAAAATAATCAAGTAAAGAATATTCTTTTCGATAATTTCCTCTTCTGGTTCTACAATTCTATACATATATATGTTGATATACACAGAATATTCTAGAATATCAGTAGTCAATAACAATATTAGTGTGCTTTTCAAATAATATAAACTTGTAAAGTAAGATCACAATGGAATTACAGTTCATTAAAGATGCTTGAATCATAATAATAAAAAAGACATAGTAGCGAATAGAATATCAACTAAAATTAGGAAAATTCCACAAAAATTCATGATCATTCAAACCTGGGTGGCCAAGGTAATGAATGATGATAATGACTGAACTAACTTCTTTTGGATGCATAAATTAGGCTTATTAATATGGATCCCCACAGCCAGCCTCAGCAATGTTTAGTAGTTGAACTCTTAAGGCAAAATTGAGGTTCGTAGGTATGCGGTAAATCACCCTGAAAGCATGGTTAACGTCAATCTTGTGTTCTGTATCCACAAGATGAGATAGAACAGCTCTGCGAATAGACTTTGTTTGTCGTTTGCTTAACCACTAAGCAGGGTGGATGTTCGGAAATCCGACGATAAACAGGCCTAATTGTACGGCCTATGTAACTGGCTCACTCCACAGGAGCAATTAAATTGGTAGATACACATGGAGTAGGAGGCGAAATTAGGCAGTTTATCTTTTACTCCCGAACGCAAAAGAGGAGTGGTTGTAAAGATACAGCGTAATTCGGCAGCAGGGAATGCTCTTTTTACCGCATTTCTAAGGCGCTGTGTTAGTACCTCACTGGTGTTGTCTCGAAGGAACTGCATTTGGCAGTTGTATGAATAAGGCCTTTTTTGGAACTGTTGGTAACTTGGGTTGCTTTGGTTTTAGAATCATATTCTTATCAATAAACTTTTCAGGATAACCATTTTCACTTAGCAACTGTTTAATATTATTAAGTTCTTCCTCAGGACATTCGTCCGAGTAAATTGCTCTTGCTCTATGAACCAAGCACTTTATTATCAGATTGCGTTTGTATTTCAAGGGCACGAAGCTGAGAAAATGTGTATACTGACCAGTTGATGTAGGTTTTCTATATACACTTCTTTTTATTGTGCCATTATTATTATTCACGATAATAACAGGACGAAACAAATGTCCAGTTTTTCCATTTTCCAGTGGTTCCCTAACTGATATCAGCTCATGTTGAAATCCTCCATCCAATCAAACAAAATCCCTACAAAACGAATAGTTGAAAAAATAAAGTTAGTAGAAATCAACAATTTTGTTGCCATGATGGTAGTCTTGATTAAATAATTCTCTTGTGCTAAATGAATAACTAAGGCTTCAGCAATGCGAAGGAGACGAAAGCGTATCCCCTTTGGTAGGTCGTTGTTGACTTTGTAGATTACTTTGTAGGAGGCGTTTGTTGTTGAGATGGAATGAGCAGCGTTGACAAGTTGTTCGATTATCTCACTCCTTATATAGCCTCAGAATGATCCCCTTTCCAAAAAATAAAAACAAAAGAAGTACACATATAAGCATAGTGTATTTAAGCTGGCTGAAGAGTACACGGCGTACAATAATCTTGAAAACCGCATTAAAATGTTGTAGACTTAACCTAAGACAAATTTGCTTCATACTATCAAATCCAATGATATTTTAACAATCATAAAACTGAATACAATCTTTATGATTCAATATATTTAGCAAGTTTCAACTAGGCGGCGACAGCACGGATAACTATGGCAAAACTAGAATCTGAATGACTGAAGTCAGTTTTAGAATCTTCTACCCTCCCCCTCACCCGCGCATCATAAACCAGAAAATTCGGATTTCCAAACACCAATGTTACATCAGACAGGGCTTCTATATGGGTCAGAAACTTGGCCAACAATGCGTCACGGAAAACATTTCCAACAGCTGTCTTCAGTGGCTTCATACTGACGATCAAATTAGATTGCCAGCCGGAAAGAAATAACAACAAGAAACTCTGGCAGGAAACGAACCAGCGAAGAACCTGTTGCTCAACAAACAAAATGGGGATGGATTAGACATACACGCACACCGAGGAGACTGTTGAATGAAATTGCGCTCACAAGGCCGTCGCTTGGTGTCGCTGCCTACCGACAAATGGAGAGCCAATGCCCTGCAGTTTTTGATGGAGACATATTGATCTTCGGGCAGGACTTCGAGGCTTCTTCGCAGCTGAGTGGCGTTCAAAATCGGTCAACGATGAGGCTGCTACTTGGGACGCTGCTGGGAGGTCGGGAGAGAGCAGCATATGAAAGTGTGAGGCAAAATACCTACGAATGTGCGACAGGGTCAGGCAAACAGTTTCCAAAATGGGAAGGACCACATATGGTCACGTTGAGATGGGGTTACGCAGACACAATCACAATGGTAAACACAGAGAAACAGGTGAACATCCGCAAGCGCCGAGATTCCAGACAGCAAGACAAAAGAGCAAAGCCCCAAGAACCAAGAAGACCGAACCAACTTCAGTCGCAAGTCTTTGACGGGGGGACGAGTGTGGTGAGAGCTGTCTGCTAGCCAAAGTTGGTAGACAGTAATTGACGTCAATGTTTATGTCCCCAATATTGGTGGTGAGAAAATGAGAACAAAGGCTTTGCGTAGGCGGATACAGTTAGCATATGGATGATCTGATACAGCCACAAAGAGATGCAAGGTTAACTTTCTATGAGAAACAACCAATCAAAAGACTGTATTTTCTACTAACAATAATCTACAATAATGTACATTAAAATCTATAAATATGTGTTGATTTTCCTTAATAAACGATCTGTTGCCTGACCCTTGTCTTCTGTTGTTACATTTGAAATCCGAATGGAAAATGACGAGTTGGGCGTAGGGTTCGAGAGTGACATGGAGGAGATGATAGGCCATAGGCAATCGTGCGTGGAACCAACCAAACAGAGGACTACAGAGAACAGAATAAATTGGAGATGTGCTGTTGAAGGCGTATGTTCCACTTGGAACCAAAGGGAACAAAAATAATAGTAATATTTGACAAGTATCTATCTCCACCAGCCTTCACTATTACCTTTCAATACATTATTCAAAGAGTCATCCTACACGGGAACAGCAATAGTAATTATGACCTTCGTTTCACTCTTTGATATGTGCAATGTGATAAAAACAACTTTATGTAATGTATTTTACAATGTGTATTGATTTTGTGTAAACACTTCTTTTCTCACCTTATAAATACATAAGTTAGTAATAATAATAATAATAATAATAATACCTGATTGTCATTTATCATAATAAATTAGAACACACGCTTGTGTGTATAGTGTTAATCACTGATCCATATTTGGTGGTAAAGCATAAGTACAGAAATGGATTATTAAAGCGTGTTGTGTGCATAAAATCGAAATACACTCACAGTTAAAATAGGTTTCGTGATATCAAGCAGTATATATATATATGACAGCGAGTTATTTTTTGTTGTTTTTGTTTTAGAAGACAAAAGAATTGAGCGATCTTTTCACAGTTAGACTCTCATCTCTGGCTCTATTCTAGTAAATATATGTTCCTTCAACGTAGTGTTAGCGAAGAGACAATACACATCGGATGCATCGAATGCTCTTTTAACTGCATTCTTCAGACGCTGTTACGTGACTGTTTCTCTGGTGAACAATGGCTTTTTTGGAGCTGTTACCTTACTGGCCTGTTTTAGTGCTAAATTCATTTTTTTTTCTCAACCATTTTTACTGAGTAATTCTCTAATAATCTTAAACTCCTCATTGAGAGAGAGAGAGAGAGTCGTTTGAGCAGGTTATCCTAGCTCTACGAACCAAACACTTTATTAAGTTGCTTTTACATTTCAGAGGTGCAGAACTGAAGAAATGTGTGTATTGGCCTATCGTTGTAGATTTCCTCTATACACTCCTTCTTAGTGTGTGTGTGTACCATCCTTTTTGCTGGTCAGAAAGACGTCTAAGAATGAGATGCTTTCATTGCTTTCAGTTTCTCTATAGTGAAGTTTATTTCTGAATACACAGCATTGATTACAGGATTTTCATCATGAGCTGACATTAGTTAGAGAACCTTTGGAAAACCTGGGAGTACTGGACAGCTGTTTCGTCCTAGTTTGGGACTCTTCGGCAGTACGCACCCACCGGGATTCGAATCCCTACAAACCAACACTTGAACACAGCATTGAACTTGTCAAGGATGTGCGTTGCTTTTATTCTCATTTTTCATAATCAGAAGTATTAAACACAAAATAAACATGCATGTTCATTATCAACCATTTCCAAACAGCTTTTCATTACACAACTGACTAGTTGTCAAACCTCTTGATTATGTAAGACTGTTTGTAATTTTCCAAACATAGTTACTACTCATGCACGTTGATCTGGTTTGTTACTGAATGACAAAAACTTTTGACCTCTTTTCTCAATCTCCTTTGTAATATATATATATATATATATATATATATATATATATATATATATATATGGTTAACTGAGTTCCATTGGAGAACTTTGCACAGAAGTGCAGCCTGCTTAATTTGTCACACTCCACGTAGCACACAAAGGCGGAGAAAAACATCAAAACAATTTAAAAGAGCTATAATGAGCAGAAATATGCAGAAAAAACGTGAGCGCTCAATGAATCCATGAGGTTGCAAAAAGGAAATGCATGTGTGCTGTGCCATTAACAACGGTTTTGAGCCATATCACCACTGGTCTATGGCTGCTGATTCTTAACGTCTCGAGGATCCCGCCCAGTCAGTATAATACACGTCTTTACGTGGCCGGATAGAACCAACGGTTAGAGAATTCACTTATTGATGCCAGGTTTCAGTTTGGTCTCCCCCAACTCTTTTCCAATGTAATTCTCTCTCTGCTAACATTGCTTGTTGAGGAAGGCGGTGATTCCGAATTTTTAGCATCTGTCGTATCCGTTTCACAACCCAATCGACTGACCTTCTCTTTTTACCTAATATT